AGAAGGTTTCATAAGAGGTGAACCACTCCAGAGCCTCCCCGCTCAAACTTCGGTTGAAGAGCCGCATCAATTAAGATTCATCCCTTCCAACTCGCACGAGCTGGTCACAGTAGGCTCTCAGTTGAGCGATAGGGTTGCCCATTCCTCCGAAGGTGTCAAACTTCGAGATTTTGAACCCTTTTTGAAGTTCCAAATTTGGATGAATACATAAGTTTTCATAACTAAGTCCGGCAATATCTAGGACGCATTGGATCTCCTTCATGGATTTCTTGATCTCTTATTTTATGTCAACCTTTGCCTCTTCCTTTGACCTCCATTCCCTTTCTCGTTCCTTATAATGGTCCAGCTTAGAATCGTGCATATCGTGCTCCGCAGGGATAGGAATTTGGAAAGTGGTTCTTTTAGGTAAGGGTGGAGCTAATGAGTGACTCTGGGCATTTTGAGTTGTTTGATAATTCTGTGGTAAGTCTGTGAGATTGGTATTCTGATTTAAGTGGTGGTGGGGTGTTTGGGGATTGAAAGTATTTTGTTTTTGATTTTGTGGTGGTAGGTTTTATGGTGGGTATTTTGAGGATGAGGTGGCATTTAGGGGTGGTTATTTTGAGGAGGGGTGGAATTTGGTAGGATGCGGAAGCATATAACCGATGGATTCTAAGAAGGTGTAGATGACTGGTTTTGGGCTGGATCCATATTTGAATAAGGGAAGTAGATTGGAGGTCTCCCATCAGCAACGTTAGAAACAAATCCTTGTGGAGGCAGATCCTGTCTCCTTTGCATTTGAACTCTCATTTATGCAATCTGTTGCATCAGCTGCAGAATAAACTCATTCTGGTCCGCTATGGTGGGTTGAGACACCACAACATTAGTAAGACATACTTCTTCATTACTATCCCCCATAATTGTCTTTCTTCTGTCTGAGCTTTGTCTAGGGAAGGAATCTGCTGGACCTTTTGATCTTGTTAAATAGGGATGATCTGCCAGCTTTTGATCGACACAGATCAGTTTCAAAGTACCTTAGAAGGAAAAAACTCAAAGGTAGATCTGTCAGTGCAGATTCATAATGCAAAATGCAAAATATCACATAGAGATCAGATAAACACACAAGTTGCTTTGTTTGAGGATATCTTCAACGCACTAGTAAGGACGGAAACACATTTTTTAACAAGAAAAAGTTTGCATGTTTTAGTTTTGACACTGTCTCAGAAAGTCTAACTCATGTTGAGCTAAGGTCTTCTTGCAGCTGCTCTTTGGCGTCCATTGATATGGCCTTCGTATATTCTCGTAACATGAAGGGGGAGAATCGAAATTTTTAATTATAGGGGCCGGGCCTGGGAAGGCCACCTACGTATCTCACAAGGAGAATTCAGCCCAACGTATTTCGATTACAAGATAAAATAATCTCATCAAATGGTTCATTACGATTACAAGGAAATTGAAAGGTAAAAACAGAGCTTTTTAAAGATAAAATGATGGTGACACATTAATCATTTTCCTTCTTGTTGTAGCGTTAGTCTCCTCCTTTCAGACGGCCCAGGAACGGAGGTTTGTAGAGGATCTCCTCACCGCCGTCTTCCCAGGTCGCTTCAGGTTGAGCATTATCGGGACCACATATACCTCCTTACTCGTAGACAGGGTATTCTTTACACATTTTCTAAAGTTTATCAATCATGTTGCAATGGAAGGTTTTGTTCTTTTTCCTCATTGTGGCCATCCTTTCTCTCATGGAGGCGAATTCTTTGATTTCCACTGTCAAATCCTCATCTAGTGGAATGCTTTTAGCTAACAGAACGACAGTCTCCAATTCTATCCTCGGCTTTCTCGCTTCTCTATCTTGCACTTTCAACTAAAGAATGGCCAACTTCTCTCGCAAGTCCTCTGTCTTCATCTAAACGCTTTTCTTTCTCTTCATCTGTGATACTAGATCCTCATCCAACGTCACGGTCACATCTTTGTAGATTACGGTGGTCATGTCGACTTTGAGCCCTTCTTCCTTGACCTCCTAAATTTCCCGAGTGATCTGTTAGATGTTTCTTTGTAGTTCTTCTCCAATTAGTTCTATCTGGATGTTCGTACCCTCATCCATAACAGTGATTTTTGCCTTTTCTGAGACGGTAGAGAATTGTTTTAGGATTTGTGGTATATGAGATGTCTTTTGAGTGAGAAACTTAAAACATGGAAATTTTGGTCGGACGTCTCTTTGTAATAGTGACTTGTTTGTTTATTTTTGATATTTCTGGAACGGAGTTGAGTTCTGATATCCTCATTCATAGCAACATAACACATAAGAAATTAGTAGCAAATATATCGTGTCCTAAAACATACAAGGGGACCCTTTTATGCAAGGGGTAGGCCTAGCGCATTTAGATGATGTACGAGTGAATTTGAACCAAATAGACTATTCCTCCCCCCCCCAAATAAATTTAACAAATGAATAATAATATTCGGAAAGGGGAATTAAAAGGATAAAATACTAAAAGACAACCCACGCAGGGGCTATTTGAATGTATGAAAGTGCAATAAAGGCAGGCCCGTGCAGGGGCTAAAATACAAAAACCTGCGCAGGGGCGAAATCCACTAAGTCACTCCAGATCGTCCTGCTCCGTCACTGTTCTCCTAAGTCTTGTATAGTAGATACATCTACCGCAACATTAGCAAAAATCCTTCTCTTAGGTGTCCTTTTCCTCCAAGCTTTCGTATCGCATCCTCTTGATTTTCTCCTTGACCCTTGTATCGAGATCATCATAACCATGTCTTAGTCTTTCCACCTCTTGATTTTCCTTCTTAAGAGCTCGTCCACCGCTTTGGCTTCTCGGTCCTCCGTTACACTTCAAAAATTTTGCAGGATTGGCGAGGATATGCTTTGTATAACCGTCGTCATATTCACCATTGAATCTATCTGAGGCGATGTGTTTTCATCTAATCTCTTAGCACCTTTCCACTCTCTTAGCATCTTTGAAGATTTGGGTAATCTGTCGTCCCCAATATTGTACACATAGGCGCCATAATATGCATCTCGAGGTACAGTCTGCCTCCTTCCAAACTGTCGCATGACTCGAAAAGGCACATAAAGGTGAATTCCCTAAATACCTGGTAGAGAAAGCACAAGTTGTCTCTGTCTCTTTATGACGACCTCTTTTGAGATAAAGCGATCTAGCATCCATTAAAGATCGTCTTCTCTTATTGCTGGGAAAATTTGAGCCCATCTTCCTCTAGTTCTCCGATTGTCCATATTCGCCCAATATAGCATATCCTTTAAATCTCTGAGGGTGTTCTTGTGATTGAGGGTGTGTAAATTCTGAATCCCAGCTCCCTTTGCCAGATGGCATAAAATCCACAACTGAAGAAGTATATTTCAACCTTTAAAATAGCGTTGTCCCTCACTACATTTTCCCAAGGCTCGGTGCTATATCAGACAAGATAACCGGGGCTATGAAGTAGTACCTCACTTGTCCTTGATTCATTACCCCTTGAATAGAGTGTGTGAAAGCATTATGAATTGAGTGTTGATGCTCAAACTCGGTCCATGTGGGAACACCATTGTTCCAACAATGCTATGGTAAATTGCTAGCAGTCAAATTTCGTTCCATTCCCTATAGGAAACCCTGAACTCTTGATTGTAATTGGGGTAGTGAATTGAGTGCACAAATCTGACATAAAGGTCACTGAAGAGTATGTGGGAATCTAGACACCAGTAGACAACATTTTTTGGCAACCCGAGCCTATTTCAAATACCTTCCACGGAAGGCTTGTTAGGGTTGAAAATGTCTTCTTGCTTTCTCGCCTTTCTTTCGATCCCAGTACCTACTATGTCTATGCAGTCTCTGATCTCCTCCACAGACGGGTGATTTCCGCGGTTCCAAATTGAAATACCATTCTTTGGTTATCCCAAAAGTCGGTGAGAACCTCAATCAGTTCCTGGCCATCCATTCATGTTGATCAACTCCGTCAATGCACCAATATATTTGTTGAGGGTCCTCCTATGATCCCCGGCGAGATTATTAAACCACATTATGAGTTGGGGTGGAGCTGCTATGACCATGTAAAACTTCGGCACATGATTTTATCTCTACAAGACGGAAACTATATAGTTTTACCCATCCTAAATTGGTTTTCAGACGTATATCATTCAAATGTCACATAAAATGATGTGTCATGAGGTCGAAGACCTTGGACACGATTTTGGTAGTTTTCTACTGAATGGACTTAATACGCCTTGGGTATTAAGTTGTCTTAGGCTAATGCTTAATTTTTGTTTTGGTTTCTCTCTTGCTTTGGATTTCTAGAATAATTTTCAAGTTGATGGTTACCCGAGTTGGACAAATATCAGGGTGAAGCTACCAAATGACGTCGGATGACAATATTTCGACTATTCATTTGATACTTCCAAATGAAATTCTTGTGTATTTTGAAGAAAGCAGTGGAAAGCCACGTAACTTTTGTTTTTTTTAATGCAAACTATTTGCCAAGAGGCGGAAAGATGCTATGAAAAAATGCAACATTTCTAACTAAGATAAAATAAACAAATGAGCAATTAAACCACATAGCAAAAATAGAGTTAGTTTTAAGGTTAGAATCCTCCGGCTTCCCCAGTGGAATCTCTATTTCTGTTTTATTGAAAAATATATTTTTTATAAGTTTTCGACCTTTTAGAGTCACCACTTAAGTTTGAAAAAAATAAGAAAAACTTTTGCTTTCAAAAGACTTTAAACATAAAAAATCTAATGATAAATTTAATGGGGTTCGGAGATTTTTATTAACGTCTTAGGAATGTTTTGAAAGCACCTAAGATGTTCCGCTTAATTACGATTATCCGAAAACTAATGTTATTTGGCTAAGTCTTGCTTGAAAAATTGAAAATTGTTTGAAAGTGAGCTTCTTAATCATTATCTAAGCGAAACTTATAAATTTGAAATATTATTATTTTAAAACTTGGTTCAATTTTTAAGCTAATAAAGCAGTATGAAATTCGACGGGGGTTTAGAGTTTTTCTAACTTTAAGCTAACTACAAATAAACGCAAATACATAGATGATAAGGTAAGAGAAAGAGAGAGAAAGAGATATTTGGATCCAAATTCAGGTTCTGTTTGCCTTGACCGGAATTTTGGACCCACATATTTTGGGCTTTTTGACCCATTTTTGTTTTGGTCCTTTGGTCCATTTTCTTTCGTACCTGTCCTAGACTAAACAATAATAAATATAAAATAAATACATAAAAAGAAAAGGGCTTATGCCCAAAAATAAATACAATGTGATAAGGAAAACAAATTAAATAAATTGGGTCTCTTTCGGCTCAACTTCTTCATCTGTTTGATTTCCTCCAACTTCTTTTAACTCGGGGCCCTGTACGTCGAGTTTTATTGGCTGGCTGACTCGAATAAGGGAAGTGGAGTCTTTATGACACTCTCAAAAAATGCAATGAAAAGGAGAATTCCATGAAGACTCGGAGAGGAGTTCATACACAAAAAAAAAGAACAATATCATCATCCAAAATGAAAAGACGCTTAAAACATGAATTTAAAATTAAGAAGTCAAGCTAGACAATTTAGAATAAACAGGAAATTACTAGCAATAGTTTACTCTATTTAAATGAAACACAATAAGAAATACATGCTTGACAATAACAAGACCATATTTTAATTAAATCAATTAACACATATCTATTCCCAAATGCAATGTCAGGCTGATGTCAACTCCACAATATAGCATGCCTGAATATGATAAGCCCAATATTCAAATTAATTTGGTAAGCATGGACAGTCAAATCATAAGAGACGCTTCCCTAATAATAACCATTAAAATGAGACAAAACTATTAACTAATTCGCTATATGACATGGAGCAACACTAAATCCAAAACTAGATCATAACTAGAAAGTAATCTCAAGAATATACACACACGTGTATATGCAAAGCAATTAAATCCCAATAGGGTAGAAACTACACACTGAAGGTAGTTCATTCCAATAATAAGTGATTAGCAAAATTTATTACATAGAAATAATAATACATAAACACAAAAGAAAGAAGAATAGAAAAATAAGTAAAATAAAACAAACAACAATAAATAAAAGGTTACTGCACCAGGGCAACACCACATCTTTATCGGATCGCATTTTGTTTGGACAAGTTTCAAATTTAAGAACTATTAGATTTAGGAAACTATATGCTAGCAAATAACCAACCTGTTTGAGAAATGGGGAGATTAATTAATCGCTATCACATGAAACGAGATCGAAACAAACATATAGTGTCTTAACAAAAAGTAAAACAAGCAGATCCATGAGCGACTTATACCTGCAGGAAGATGAGGTGCATAATGACCAAACTATTTAACACTCCTAATAAAGTGATTAAGGTATTCCTACGACTATTAACCCAAGATCAGACAAGAAACAAAAGAATGTAGAAGAGCAACTCCAAAGACTTACTCACACACTATCGCAAGTAACAAGAGACCTCCACCAGATCCTAAAATCAACCAATCTATCAACTATGGCGTCTAACTTAATAATGGCAATTTCAACTCATCCATGATTCTGAGATTTTGTCTTTATTTAGCATGAAGAAAGACATTAAAAGGTAAAGAAGATGAACTAAAAATGAATAAATAAAAAAACTTGAAAGAAGACAAAATAAACAGATGTATACATATATATTTCATGCTAACAAGGAAGGAGAGAAGGACACACATGTTTGATGACATTCAGGCAGCTAGGCTCAAGAAAGGACATAGCAAGATAAAAATCCTAGTGAAGAACAAAGAAAGTCCAATATTTGAATACGAACCCACCAAGTTTAACTCGACAAATAACAACTAATAACGAAGATGACTAAAATTTTTACATCAAGTTAATGTAATCATTGATCAAGCCGCAACAACCAACAAACAATCACACAATGAGGACCTTTGTAACATTATGAAATAGCACAACAAAACAAAGGAAAAAAAGAGGAGAACGTCACTAAGAGGGAAGTGCTACCTTTTTCGATGCGGCAAAACTGAAACACTACCGAGCAGGGTTACGAACTTCCAAAAATGAGTATCGAATTTTTGAAGAAACCAGGAGGAATTTATGTAGAATGAGAAAAAAACTTGATGCTCTTATAGAAAGTAAATCCCTCTATTCGAGCGCCTCACTGTCTCTTTTTCTATCTTTCTTTATGTTCTCTTAGTATTTCATTCCCTTTTAAAAATATACGGAAAAGCTTCAAACTCCAAAACTTCTAACAATTTTTCTACCTTAAAATCTTCCCCTGTTTCTACAATGTTTCGCCTGATTTTCTGCCTAAAACTCCAACTAAACCTTCCAAACCTAAATTTTTAGCCCTAAAAAAAATTCCTTAATCAGAAAATCGAATAGACTACATATAGGGGGAGATTAGGGGTTGAGAAAAGTGGGGGGATAGATTAGAAAAGGAGTAACAAATTCCCCACCGAAATTCAAAATCTCAGAGGATAAAGATGAGCAAGCTGGAATTAGTACTAAATCGTACCAATCTCAATGGAAGTCGAAGGAAAGTCATTCGATCTTAAGCTAGGAACGCACAAATTGTGGAGATTGCTCCATTTGGCCTGCTCGCATACAGGTCGCCTGTCTTGAAGGTCGTACCATTCATAGCAGAGGGAGAAGAAAAGGGTGACGCGTGATTGGAGAAAGGGAGAGGGAAGACCACGCGGTTGGATTTTGTCTCTGTGAAGTCGCATGAAATTATGAATTAGCAGAGATGTTTCTTCACGAGTTTTACTAGATTCTCCTCTGGTTATTCTGTGGCTGCATATTTTCTTGTGAGAAAGACAAGAGAAACGGGTCGGTTGAGGAAAGATAGAGTGGGTACTGAAATCGATGAAATGGGTATATGTATTGGGCTGAAATTTTGGTTGGTATGGAAGGGAATTTAAATAATGGGTTGGGCCAAGGTTATGGGATTATGAAGGGCTGATTGGAAAATTTTTGGGCCTGGGATTTTATTAGAATGGATTGGTTGCTGCTGAAAATTGGCCCAATATTTTGTCTTTTGAGTAGAATGCTACCAATTTAGTGAAACTAGATTTTAGGATAAGACGAATCGATATAATTTACTAACAAGCTTCCTAAGGCTAACAAAAATAATATATTTAATTCGAATATAAACTAAAGATTCAAAATATAAGCTAAAATAATTAACCAAATATTTATGTAAAACCAAAATATTACTGTTATTTCAATTTTGAAATATCAGTAAACTATAATAATTTATGAATAATTATGTGGGACCCTCACATTAGTAAAAAAAAATAAAAGTGTCAAAACCTTATTTAAAACCACTTGCAAGCTAGAATATATTTATTTATTATTATTATTTTTTTGGAAATATATAAAATTAACTACTTTAAATTGTTTAAACTTAAGAAACTCGGTGATGAATAACTATCAAGGACGGTCAAAATTTGGGTGTCAACAGTGACATCCAATCAAGTTATTTCAAGTGCGGACAAGAGGGACACTTCATGTAAGAGTGTCCTAAGGCAACATAGCTCAATCTTTATTAGTTGCTCCACTAGAGAGTGCTTCACCTAGGGGAGCTACTTCTGGTACTGGAGAGGAGCAAAATGCCTCTATGTAATCACTAGTCGCCAAGAGCATGATAACTCTCCAGATGTTGTCACTAGTATGATCAAACTGTTTAATTTTTATGTTTATTCTTTACTAGATTAGGGCCAAGTTTGTGTTTTATAATCCCTTATGTTGCAAATAAGTTTGAAATTCTTCTGAGAAACTTTGTGAACCTTTTTGTGTTTCTAAACCTGTTGGAGAGTCTATTGTAGCATAAAGAGTCTATCATGATTGTCGTGTTTTCATCAATTACAAGAATACCATGGTTGGCCTAGTTTAACATGTTAGATTTTGTTGTCATTCTAGGTATGAAATGACTTCATACTTGTCATACATCAATAGAATTGAGCACGTAAGGGTCATTTAATATCATACCTTAAGGTGAGAAAGTTAGTTTCAAAGGGTTATATCTATCACTTAGTTCGAGTTAATGACTCAAGTGTTGATGTACCTATCTTTCTTGATGATCTACCCGCAAATGCCTTCTGAGAGGGAAATAGAATTCGGCATAAATATCATTCTAGATACTCGTCCTATATATATTCCTCTATATAAAATGGCACCAACAAAGTTAAAAGAATTAAAAGATTTGTTACATAATGGTCTCATTTGTCTAAGTGTCTCACCTTGGGGCGCTCTAGTCTTGGTTGTGAGAAATAAAGATGGTTCCCTTAGGATGTGTATAAACTACCATCTAGGATGTGTATAAAATACCATCAAGAATTAATATCCTCTTCCTTGAACTGATGATATTTTCGACCAGCTTCAAAGTGCTTCTTGATTCTCAAAAATTGATCTTAGATCAGGTTACCACTAGTTGAAGGTTAGGGAATGTGACCAATACTCCTGCAACATTTATGGATATTATGAATAGATTCATCAAACCTTATTTAGATATCTTTATTATCACCTTCATTGATGACATACTAATCTATTCAAGGAATGATATAGATCATGCTAGTTACCTTAGAATAGTCTTTCAAACTTTGAAAGATAAGGAGTTATATGTGAAGTTCTAAAAATCTAAATTTTTGGCTTAAGTAGGTGGAATTCATGGGCCACATAGTTTACGGTGCTTAAATTAGCATTCATACCGAAAAGATAGAAGCAATTTAGAGTTGGCCTAGACTCACGTCTCTTACTGATATAAGGAGTTTCTTAGGTTTTGGTCGGGTACAATAGAAAGTTAGTTGAGGGTTTTTCATAATTCTGATCTCCTTTGACCAAGATGACTTAGAAAACAATTGAGTTTTAATGGTCTAACGCTTATGAGAAATGCTTTCATGAATTGAAAAAAAAGGTTGACTACTGCCTTGGTTTTGACCTTACCAGAAGGTACTCTAGGTTTTGTGGTATAATGTGATGCATCTAGAATTTGTTTGGGTTGTGTTCTAATGAAGAAGGGAAAGATTATAGCTTATGTATCAACATAGTTTAAAGTTCATGACAAGAAATATCCAACGCATGATTTAGAATTGGCTGTTGTATTTTTTGCATTAAAAATACTGCGGCAATATTTGTATAGCATTCATGTTAGTATATTCACTGATTATAAGAGACTATAATATATGTTCACTCAGAGAGAGCTTATTCTCAAACAAATGAAGTGGTTTGAATTGCTCAGGAATTATGACATGAGCAATCTCTACTACCTAGGTAAGGCTAATATGGTTGGTGATGCCTTAAGCAGGTTGTCTATGGGTAGTACCACCCATCTTGAAGAAATAAGAAAGAACTAGATGTGCATAGACTTGCACGCGTGGGAGTAAGACTTATAGATTACACAGAAGGAGAAATAATGTTGACAAACAGGGTTGAATAATCACTAGTGTCAGAGGTGAAAGAAAAACAAGACCAAGACCCCATTTTTTCTTGAATTGAAGGTAAATGTTCAAAAAGAGCGAGTATTGGCTTTTGAACAAGGGATAGATGATGTGTTGAACTAGCAGGGTAGGTTGTGTGTACCAATGGTGGATAGGATCCAAGAGAGGATCATGGAAAAAGCTCATAGCTCTATATATTCCATTTATCTGAGTTCCATAAAGATGTACCGTGATTTGAGAGAAATATATTGGTGGGAAGGTATGAAGAAGGGCATTGTTGAGTTTGTTGCCAAGTGCCCGAATTGCCAGCAAGTGAATGTAGATCACCAAAGGCTTGGAGGGTTGGCAAGAATATAAAACTTCCAGCATGAAAGTGGCAGATGATTATATTGACTTGATCGCAAGGTTATCAAGGTCACACAAACAACATGATTCAATTTGGGTGATTGTCGATAAAATGACAGAATTAACCCACTTTTTGCCGGAAAAGACTACTCATTCAATAGAGGATTATACAAATTATACATTCAGGAGGTGGTGAGACTTCATGGAGTCCCAGTTTTTTATTATCTTAGATAGAGATGCACTATTTAATACACGATTCTAGAAATCTTTCCAGAAAGGTTTGGGTTCAAAGGTGAACTTAAGTACTAATTTTCATCCTTCAAACAGATGGGAAAGCAGAGTGTACTATCCAGACCTTATAAGATATGTTTAGGGCTTGCTTAATTGATTTCAAGGGGGATTGGGATGATCAGCTACCTCACATTGAGTTCGCTTACAACAACGATTATCATATGAGAACCAAATGACTCCATACAAAGCTCTTTATGGGAGAAGATGTAAATCTCCTATTTGGTGGTTTGAAGTATGTAAAACATGGTTCATAGGACCAGATATAGTTCACCAAGTTATGGTGAAGGTGAAGGTGATTCAAGCGAGATCGAAAATGGCATAGAGTCGTCAAAATTCCTATTCATATGATAAGAGAAGGCTGTTGGAGTTCGAAATGGATGATTAAGTATACTTGAAGGTTTTACCCATGAAGTGTGTTATGAGGTTTGGTAAGAAGGGTAACCTTAGTCCCAGGTATATTGAACATTATGGCATACACAAAAGGATTTGCAATGTAACTGATGAGTTAGAGCTAACGCAAGAGTTAGCAACAGTTCATTGATAGTACCAACTGAAATTGTTGGGATTGAGGATAGCTTATCTTATAAGGATATTTTGGTTAAGATTTTAGATCTCCAATTTCACAAGTTGGGAACAAAGGAGGTCGCATGTGTCAAGGTCCTACGAAGTAAAAAACTTTGTTAAAGAAGCTACTTCGGAAGCTCAAGAGGATATGAAGAAAAGATATCCATATCTCTTTGAATCTCGAGGGGATGTAGATCAAGGTACTAATTTTCTTCTAAGTAATATATAAACTTTGAGTAAGCATGTTGTTACTTGGTTCTGATTGTTAAGTGTTAAAATTGAGGTTACTATTCTTAGCTTAGTGAAAGAAAACTCATTTGAGGATGAAAGTTCTCAAGGGGGAGTTATTGTAACATCTAACAAATTTAAATAACTAAGAATAAGCTAAAATACTATTGAAAAAAAGGGGAAATCTGGAAAAAAATTCCAAGTTAAAGAAATGGAGTTTTGGTCATTTTCAACAGGCCATAATTTCTAGCTCAGGATGATTTAAAGGTGCTTCATTATAGGGTGGAAAGATCTTGGAATAATCTTTCCAACTCCACCAAGTTTGTGCATTTTTATATTGTATGAGTGAGTTATGACTTTTGGAAGTTGGGATATTGGATTGAAAAAAGTCTAAATCCGAATTTAGAAGGGCAAACTACGCTTTCCACCAATTAATTTCCTATTTAATTTTCAGGGTTTATTGGGGGTAAAAAAAGTCTTAGATCAGTTTATAAAAGTTATAATTATGATTAGGGGTTGGAGAAGAGAGAAAACAAGAAATAAAGGGAGAAAAGTCAAGAATTCTCTAAGAACGTCAAGATTTGTGGGTGGAATTCATTGGGGGTGATCCCTATCAAGGTGTATGAGCTATGTTAGTGTTGGTTCAATTAAACGACACAAGAAACTTGTTTCAGTTCATTGATTTTTGAGTTGGTTGAATGATTAAAAGTGACGTTTTTGAAGAACATCATTGAATTCTAGTTGATTGAGTTATTAGATGTCTAGTGTTGTTTTAATTCGAGTTTATGAGTTATTTTCAAGTCAAATCTATAGGGTATTGAGGTTACTAATGATCAAGTGTGTTTGGGGAAAGAACCATGGAAGTTTAGAGGGTTTAGAGATGAAAAACGAGGTGAAAAGTCGAGAATGTCTGTCCATAGGGCCTTAGGGCACCACGCCTCCCATAGCCCCAAAGGACAATCACTGTCAATAGGGACTTGGGTAGATATGCCA